TGGAACACGCTAAAAGAAGGACATCAGATCTATAGATATATTTGGAAGAACAAAATATTGTATTGATATTCAAGTAGACAGAGTAAGTTGTTGTTGTTGTGGGGTTTTTACTCCATTTTTAAACACACGATAGGCTATACATGGCGGCCAGTATTAATGGTGGAGGAAGAAACCTGGAAATCACCGGAAAGAACCACCCCGACCCACGAGAAGTTACTGGCAAGCTTTCTCACATATCTACATTCGCCGAATCCTAGACTTTAACCAACAAAGACAGAGGTGAGATGGCACTGGTCCATACTTTAGACCACTCGGCCACTCGGATGCCCGAGACAGAGTAGGTATAACTAGAATTTGAGAGAGAATTGCTACATAAGATATATATGCAGCATGAGATTTCGTGTTTCGATTGATTAGGATTGATTAAGATACATGCAACATCACCGCTTCGGTGGCCTAGTTGTTAGAGCGTCTGCCTCGGATGCGGGAGATCGTGGGTTCGACCCTGGTCGAGTCATGCCAAAGACTTACAAAAATGATACTAACAGCTTCCTCGTTTAGCGGTCAGCATTAAGAGGTTAGTATTAGAACTGGTAGCCTGGTGTCAGGATAATATGACTGGGTGGGACATCATGATACATGTCTGCGGAATGATGCCCTTGTGCTAGACATCACTATAAACTGCCACACTGCAGATATTGTAGCCATATGATTGAAAAATTTTTAAAGCTACGTTAAAAATCAAAAACACATCACCTCAAATAAATGAAACATCCTAACAACGAACAGTGACAATCTAGTTATTACAAAATAAAGAGGAGAAAACCAAATATCCCTGAAAAAAAAAACGTTGAGGTTACAAAATTTTGCTTGGCTATTTCTACAGAAATACAAGACTGAAATGTTAGATGTTTCAGTTAGTTGGCTTCAACTTGATGCTGATGCTGAAAAGTTACAAGATTATACAGTCCTATACTTGACCTCAGATGGCAATAACTTGACACCAATAAACATCAATAAACATGTTTATTTCTATTCATACACATATGAATTAGTTGGTTACAAACTAGAAAATCAATAATTCGGATCAAGTACAAATAAACTTGATTTTGGACAAATTTAAGCCCAACAGTGTTACAATACAATAGCATATATTGAAATTAAAAAACACACTAACAAATAGGCAAATTAAAAATTAAACTTATATAAAACTTCCCCAATACAAAAAGAAAGATATTTGCTTTTTTTTATTAGTTGTCAACAATACATGTAATTGAACAAATTAAATAAGATGAAATCTTATGAATGACACAAGTATACATGAAAAATATAATATTGCTATACACGTGAAAGTGCATCTGTTAATAAATTGTATTTTCCTGTAACGTGCCTAATGTCAAACTGTATTACTGTAACAACAAATTCCAACTTAATAATCACTGATTTCGTTTTTCATCTTGCAGATTGTGATCATTAAACACAATGATCTGTAAGTGAGCTGAACTAATATAAACTTCGTAGCGTTGGAATGCCTTTATCAAAGCTAAACGTTCCTTCTCGAAGTAGAATAATTTCCCTTGTGCACAATGTATGATCTACACATATTTTTGTCTTCTTGACTCAGAATGGCATCAACCCTAATATCACTTGCAATCCGCTGGATTTCACATTTTTTCTGAAACTTCAGTTAAGTTCTGTTATATATGATTAAATAAATAATTTCATGATAAAACAATAATAGTATGATCAGTAATATGATAAAAATAAATTCATAACTTATTTTTATCATCAAGGTATTTTTCTGTCGTTGCCAGTTTGAGATCAATTTTTTTAAAAAAAATAATTTAAATTCCCTGGAAATATATAGTGCTTGTCAGAATTCTTAGACAAAGACATTTATTAGAAATTATTCGGAACGCTAAAGCCAGAAACTTATTGTCAGTGATTCAACAAGGAATTATTGCCACAACAACAAAAATAGGTTATAGAAGACGTCATCACCTTCCCTTTTGGAACTTGATCGGGATTCAAACCTTGATTAAATTATAACATTTTAGTGATATGACTTATATTTATTAATTCTAGGTTTAATTTTGTATTCGATTCATAAACAGTACGTCCTTTATTACATTTTTACACTGTTTTCTAAGGAAATAAATTAATTTTTACATTTTACAAATCTTGTTGGCTTAACTCCTTTCTTTTTTACGTTTATACGAGCCTAGACACGTGAGATTTATCAAACTTGATTAAAGGACCATAAAATACTTATATTTGTAACTCACCACGAATTTATGACACAACTGTAATGCAAAACGAACATAATTTTTAAAACAATTGTGGCATGAAAATTGAAACACGATGTTAATATCAACAAGATTCATCAGGGAATTTACATATGTCTCTAAATTGTCTTAAACCAAAGGCATACCTGTACAGTGAAAATGTACAGTATGCGTCCTACCAAAACAATACAGAGAGAGAGAGAGGGAGGGGGTATCATTTATACTGTCATCAGACTTTGATGACGTAGTTCGAATAACTTTTCCGTAGCTCCTTGAAATAAAGAAAATCTGCTTGATCTGGATTACATTTACAATACAATACATTCGATGCAAAATTATTTACAGACCCTCCGGCATCCAGAAGTCACAATAGTACAGTAACTTGGTCTAGGTGCATGTATCACATCGAGTTTTATAGCGACATCGATTCTCACGAGATTAGTAAGGTTAAATGTCATTTAATGCTTTTTCAGTATTAAAGGCTACACGGTAGATGCGTCAATATATATATATATATATATATATATATATATATATATATATATATATATATATATATATATATATATATATATATATATATATATATATGGAAAGCTTGTTGCTCGTATATATACTAGCCGCAGGATAAGCCAAAACACTGTATGGTAGGAGATTACGAGCAACAAGCTTTCCACAATCATTTCAGACCCTTAACCCAAGTCAACAACTTTGCTACATTAAAATGCCTTGTCGAGGCATCCGAAGAATTTCAATTTTGTGTTTACATTTTTAAAGAAAAAGAAAATATTGTCTCTCGACAGATAGACATGTGACATTTAACAAATTATCAGGTATTGTCATTTTTTTTATTCTAACACAAATTTCGCAATATTTTACACGGTCAAGTAGTGTGCGGGAATAGACAAGTCGTCAAGCTTGATTGATTACGCGCATATTTATTACCATTGACAAATAATCCTTGTTTGGTCATAGTTTTACAACCTTAAGTCTCAAAGCTTAACTTACTTGGTGTCATACTCGTTATCAATTATCCGCTATGGCGAAGTCAAAAGCAGATGTTTTTTATACCGACGGAACCAGCCATCGAAGTCGGCTTTAATGGGTTTTTTTCTGTCTCTATAGCTCTTACCTTACGTGGTTTGGTTCCTAGAAAATCCATTTTTGCTCAGAAATACAAAGCTATCAAGGTATTTTCCGATGCACTCTCCAGCACGTTTGCTTAATTACCAACCTTTCTAAATGCTGAGATACCAAATCAATATCTTGCAATTAATGTATCATGCTGGCGTTAATTAGCAACATTCTTGCGTCGCATTTATGTACATTATGTACAATCACGTTGAAATATAGTAAAAATATAGTTGTCAAACATTATAAATTCTAACAGGAATGATGGAGACTGGTGTCAGTATTAAGAGGCTAGTGGTAGGACAAGTCTGTCTGATGTTAGGATAATGTGACAGGGTTGGCCATCATGCTACATGTCTGCGGCATGAAGCCCCAGTGATATACATCACTATAAACTGCCACACTGCAGACATTGTAGCGATGTAACTGAATTTTTTAAAGCAACGTTAAGAGTTATGATCAAAATACATCACATCTGTCATTATGTGCCCATTTTTACACGTATTTAAATCATGTTTCGTTAATAGAATTTCAACGCATACTAGTAAATGAAAATTCTTCTCCTGTTCAGTTAGTGACATTTCAGGCTGCACCAGTGTATCCGCATACATTGGCCGTGCTATCTTAGAATTGCAGTGGACGGCATTAAATGGTGGCGATAATATGAAGGCATTACTGAAAAAAAGTGACGACCAGATAGGTTCGTAGAGTGGGCATATTTTTCTCGCACTTTCATTAATTTTTAGAGGAATTCTGGACTCCAGCATATTAAATGATGAATACCTTTTTATTAGATGCGTGCCAATACCTTCCAGACGCCTCCAGGAATCAGTCTACACTCCATAGTAAACAGTTAGTGATTCACCGCTGGGAACACGAGCAACACCAATACTTTGCAGCATGATGCTATTTTTTACATCAAGATTATTTTCATTTGGGTTTATTAGTTGCAGGTTGGCACGCACCGCAGGAATTTGGTAAACACTAGGGTATTTGATGCCTTATATGTTTCAGCCCTGTAAAATTAAAATAAGCTTTTGAATTAAAAGAGGTGAAGAGACCGGAAAGTTATATCAGTAAACTTGATGCCGACCCTCAAAGTCATCGCGTTGTAGTCTGCAGTCATCCCAGGAATGAAAGCATGCATTACATTTTTGAGCGTACTTAATTTAAAAGACCCATCGGGAACGTCAACGGCTTAAGCGTGCTGGTTTGAGTCACTCCCCCAATAATTATATTGTTACCAAGAACAACCGAAATGGTAAATGATCCTTTGTTGAAAGAAATCTCTCGAAACGCTGAAAGAGTATCATAATAAGAGAAGATCAATTGTTTTATAGCACTAGCCATACTAAAAAAAAATTGGTCGGTACAACATTAACTCTAAACTCAGCAAAATTCGGGAAAGATGTTATTACCACAAGAACTTGGTTTATATAGCTACATGAAATACTGTGTTTGCGGCAAATTTAACTATAACAATATAGAAAAACGTTCAACTTTGCAGATTTATGCGAGACGGTGTATTTAGTTTCGGAACACATTTATTGATAATCGATAATTACTTTTTATACGTCTTTGGTATGACTCGGTAGGGGTTCTAACCCTCGACCTCCCGCATCGGTGGCGGATGTTCTAACCACTGGACCACCGGAGCGGTGTACATCATGGAAATACGGCTCAAGTAAGTGTGCGAACTTTGACAGTATATAATCATATTGCGCCATGACTGTCGGGTTCTACTGCTACTAGAAGGGCGTGATTTCCTGCAAACTAAACTGATCGAATCGGCATTTAAGGGCCTGTTTTGTTTGATAGTTACTATCTGACCTAGTTTACGCCTGAAAATGAAGATGAAAGGCCGTTGACCAGAGGCATAAAATACAGGATGTTTTCTGGGTAACTATGGGGTTATGATCGTCGAGTTTCTCAGACAGGAGAATTTTGGTTTGGTGCTTTTGCACAAATCCACCAGTGTACTACTATTTTGACATCTCTACTTGTCACTTTTCTTAGCTACAGTAATGTGGAAGCTTCACATTTTTATAAGGAGCCATTTAAGTTATAAAACCTGGGACCATACGTAGAGTGAAGCGCTCAAACAGTCATATCAAGAATCTTATTTGAACAGTGGTGGTTGCTGTAGGTTCCGCAGCTTTTCATTACTCAACGCATCAACACTAGCAAAGCAGCGTGAGGACCTTATGTGGCAGATATAGCAGATACCTATGCCACGTACGAAGCTAAACTGAGGGTAAGGACGACTGCTTTACTTGGATCGTCTCTATTTGGAATATGCAAGTCTCTTATAGGCGAATTCTAACTTCAGACTATTGTTAACGTTTTGCGAGTTATCTAAAATTGATACGTTTATTCAGACGTCATAGTCAGAATCCACCTTTACTTCACATGATGTGCTGTACTAGCAACCAGTGGTGCTGAAATGCTTATATAATGTGTGAAATTTGTAAAGAAGCACACCTGACAAATGATACGTTAGTAGTGACGAAGAGGGTTGAATCAACAGTAAGATCTCAGGAAATGACAAATGTTCCAATGATTAAATATACAGGTAGAGATGCTGCTGGTAAAAGACATGTTGAGGTGATGAAACGTCTCGCTAGGAAAAAAATGATATTGTAGAAACGAGGACACAGCAGGCTACTCCATCTTATGTTATTTGATCTTCAAGTTGTACAGCCCGGCTACGAACGTAAGCGTAATTATCGTCTTAATTTCTTCAAAGAACTGCTACACGACAAAAAGCAGGTCAAAACACTTAAGCTCATGTCACTATATTTGTACGCGAGTATCACCTGGTGACTGGTGGGAAAATAGGTCTATACATATTTATAACTTAGCAAATATAAGCAATTATTATAGTACAGTCGAATTGAAATGTGAGCTGCTCAACATGTCAAAACAACAGAAAGCAACCGATACTGAATTGGTTGCAATATAACAGGAAGCGATGTTACTTGAAAGTCGTGCCAGAGAATTGGCAGAAACATTCAAACTCTTATAAGATGTTACCACGACATGGCTGAAGAAACATACTATGTGGTAAAATACCGATTGAAAGATCGTAAAATTCACTTGTAGTTGTTTGATGACGTACACCATTTCGACAACTTGTTTATATCTTAAGACAGGGTTTGTCACGTGCCTTCAAGCTTGGGCCATTATAGTGGCCCAATCTGCTTCAGGTTTCCCTTTGCTGGGAGTTTATGAGAAGCACGTCGCAAGTCCCGACCAAGCGCTGCATGTAAGTGAAGCTGAATGAGGCAGGCAATCACCGTGCTTATGGTATCATAGATCGGTTCATCGGCATTCAGGCCAAGAGGCTTTATCGGTACCAGTATGTCCAGATTATGCTGCGTATCGTCCTTGAAAGTCTCGTCAGTTGTCCTAAACGGTGGCAAAGAAACTCAGCTTATAAGCAATATTTTATGTCCAATCATGATACAGTGGGGCGGGCTAAGCCTGTTACATTTTATAGCGTTGATTGGTATGAAAGAAAAAAATCAAATGCGTTGGGTAGTACCTATAAACACCTGGAGAGGTCCAAGGTTGTCCTTAAATGACTACAAGCGAGGACGTGCTAATGGTAAGACTGGCTCTCTGCTACTATATTATCTGTTTAGTATCGACGGTGCAGGACCTAAGCGAGCATTATGAGTGGTTGTCCCCCAAAAGTGGGTCCTCATTTCACGTAGATGTCACTGAGGTCAAAGTTCATCATCTGTCTTATTAAAATGTCCTCCGGTGTCCGGTGACTTGGTCATTAGCACTTGTGCCGCATTCATAACCTCTTTTCCCGCCCTGACAGAAAAAACTGCGAACTACAAAACAGTCAAATCTCACATTGCCCTTCGAATGTCCATGGGTGTTGTGCAGGCGGTATACACTGATACTCAAGAGTGTCTTTTGATTCATATACCCAAAGCATTTCGATACTGCATGCGTTATAGTCGTTATGTTGGTGCTGCATAAGGCAGAGTATTTCTTCGATCTTGAGTATATAGAACAGAGGGAACTAATATCAGCGCAAGACTGGTCTTAATGTTTATAGGTCCGGATACCCTTGCTGATTTCCTCTTCCTCTGCCCTCTCTGCGGAGCTTCAGTTAAGAAAGGTACTCAAATATGCATTGAAGATAGTCGTTAACGATCCATACATTGCGCAGGTTTTATCAATGCGCAGTAATTGCGTAAAACGACAGCGAACTGAATGGACATCTAAATGATGTCATTTAGCTCATGATACGGCTATTGTCTTGGAATGTTAACAATGAGACCACACTCATGCCAGGTTTCCACTGATCTTGAAAGAATCTCCAACCACAACTAACAGGATGGGCCTTACGCACCTCATCTCATTGGATAGTCAGATTTTAGGCGCATCCTCGGTTTAGTTGTTTCTTAAAGGGCTGCCTCTTTGGACCGGTAGTCTTTCATTTGATAATTTTTAAATTACACCAATCGCGGTAGATCGACCGCAATTGTGTGTGCAAGTTAAAAGCTGTTTCCATTTAAACCTTATTCACTGTACAAGATAGTACCGCGCAACATAGTGAATGATATCCGCGGTTGTAACTGTGAAATTTCAAGTTAGCATCACTAAATGTTGATAAAAGTAACTAATTCGAACTGACATAGAGCATAACACATGTTATTAAATACCTGCTGAAACGGCGGTCGGTTTACATAAATATTTCTATGCGGCCAGGACCCATAGAAGAGTCTAGTTTGTTATATAAAGGATTATACATTTTTCTTTTCAGCCATCATGTAATAGCCTCCATTTGATTTCTCTGCGAAATCAAAACTGGGCTCTTACAGGACTCTGAGGAGACATGCATATATACCAGTCTTTTTCAGTTTGTATCAGATGAATGATGTTGCGCTGTGTCTCAGCATGAATTATGTTTAAATCATTCATGCAATAATTCCAGACGCTGGTATGAAAATTCAATTCGAAACAGACGCAGATATCATCTGCAATCTGCGCGAAACGAACTAAAACATTTTACTGGACCATTGAGATAGATAAAGTCAGTGACATCTATCTAATATACACATATCACTACGTTTGTTATGGAATATTATAAAAGGAAGTCTATGGATTTTGTGTTATTTCATATATATATATATATATATATATATATATATATATATATATATATATATATATATATATATATATATAAATTAATGCACTAGATCCTAATGTAACCCGTATTTCCATAAGGTTTTATTAATGTCTCGTTTACACTTCTATATGCTAGATCATGTAATTAAAATCAACGAGTGTACTTTTGTGCTGCATATGGTCACAACTGACAATCCGAATCTGATAAGAGCAGTTATTTTCTATATTATTTCTTATGGAAATAAAGGCGCAAATGCAGTTGATGGTTTGGGGGTATTGTTCTTTCTCATTTTTCTTCCAAGCAAAATAAAATCGATCATATGTCACATTCAAAATGTCCTGTGTTACATTATTTGTAAACGTTCAAACATAATTTAGCCATATATTCATGAAGACTGATCTCCTGTCATACATTTGGCCGAAGTTAACAGTCGAAAAATATTGATAATAAAACAGATAAGATATATGAATACAAATCACATCACTAGTCAACGTTATTTTTTTATCAAGGCAAGAATATGAAACATTCGGAGGAAATATGAGAATATTTTGTTACTAACAAATGTTTAGGACATAATATGGTGACTATTCTGGTGTAGGCAAACGTTGCTAAAGAGAAACAAATGTTATATCATTATAAAGTATGAAAATATTGCAGTTCCACAAATAACACATATTTTATTATATTGTATTCATTATGATAGCAACTGCGGCAATTTTGAGATTACTGGTGGCAAAAAAAATTGTAATTTGGAAATAGAGGATTTGTGGTAACATAATGCTTTTAGAAACGAACTTCGTTCTTTGTGAAATCTGTGAAAAATGAATAAATAACGGTATTCATCTAAAACGTCATTTTTATCATAATGATTTCATCTTCTTTTATTATACAGTGTATTGTCCCAACAAACAGTTTCAACTAAAAGCTTTTTAGTGGAAGTCTTAAACTTTATCATTGGTAAATACAGATTCCTATTTAATAGTAAGTAGTTTTCCATATTCAAAATCCTCTTTTAAACAATAGTAAAATTTTCCTTTAGAGGATATAATTACCGACGAATGCCATTTCTCAACATAAAGGTCTTTTAAAGTTTCTGCTATTATGGGTTTCGTTTCTTGCCTCGTAACCTTGCTACACTGAAAGGAAGCAAACTTCTCCGCATAACTGATAAAACATTTTAATTTATGATACATATTACATATTATTCTAAATATTTCCCATCTGCATTATTATTTAATATCTAATAGAGTCATGCATAACTATATTTTTGAAATATTGGATATTAAGGAGAAGTATTTCAAGAAGTCAGCTCTTCTAGATTTTTTGTTTTATCATTTCAAAAGTTATTAAATTGCCATGATCGTCTACTAGATCATTCAAAATTTCAAAACCGGCTTCTGTCCAGGAATTGTATTCTTAGAACATTCTAGGGGGGATAAAATTAAAAATGCTCATGAATAGGAACTCATTTTCACTTTGCGGTTCCTCTTTTCAATAAGATAATG